GGTGTGGAAGATCAACTTGACACAAACAATAGTGACTTTGTGTGTAAAATGAATTTATGTGGAAATTGATATATCAAGCAAATATGAAATGGTCATATCCTTAATCTTCTATTTCCAATTTGTTGTAAGCTAGCATGTATTTTAAATTAAATATAATCCAGTGTTATTGTCATGTTAATGGGAAAGGAGTTCGTCTAGTTTACTCAGAAAAACAAACATTCAATGTTAAACTCGCGGTAAAATTTAACATTAATATACCCAAGGCAATATTTGTTATTTTCGTTATCATATTGAGCATGTCTGATTAGTTTTAAATGCAAATTCTATTAAATTTAAAAGGCATTTGTTTCGTAAACCATGTTTCAAAAATGTCATCAATTAAGTCATTTATATCAGATAGGCTTAAGAATGGGATAGTGCATTGACTACTAAATGTCAATTAAGGTACGATTTTATTATCTGTGGCAAATAACATAAACGTACTGTTTAGTGCATAGCCACAACAAACTACTTGAACCAAGATGGGCATTCTCATGGGTACAGAAGATACAGAATATTTCAGCATACATTTTACCTTTTATATAAGTGCTTCCGTTTCGTGAATTTCAAAGGTGATAACCAATAAAATCCACCTTATTTTTTCCGAATTGTATTTTGTTGCAATTGTTCGCATTTTTGTTTAGTACTATATAAATTCATATCCAACAATGAAGATTTTATTGAACATTTTTAGTTTATGTAGACAACTAAGTCAAGAAAGGAAACCATAATTAAATTAAAAAATAATAATGTTAAAACATCTGCTGTTTATTGAAATTATATGTCAAACTGTATAAAAATAAATGTCGTTTTAACCCAAATAAAGACATTGATACCAAATCTTATCAGATATGATAAAGATTGTTTTTTGGGTGAAACTTGCTTGTTCTGCTATCGAGATTGGGTTTCTTTGAAAAGAAGCGTATTCATCTAAACCAATGAATAATAATGTAAAAAAATAGGTAACAGTTTTAGGCCATATGTTTGATCACATGACCTATGCCAAATTGCTCGGTCATTTTTTCTGATCCTAGCGCATCACGAATGGGCCTCACAACTGTCGTGCGACACCCGTGTCTTTGTTTCAAAAACCAATGTTCGCGTTTCAAAATACCTGTTCATTGAATGTTAACTTTCGTTTAGTAAAGTCATCATTACAGCGTTTATTTTTTATTTATTTTCTTTGTTTTTTATTAATTATTACTGTTGTTATTATCATTATTTTTATTATTATAATTATTATTATTATTATTTATATTATTATTATTATTATTATTATTATTATTATTATTATTATTATGATAATTATGATTATTATAAGTAGTAGTAGTATTAGTATTTAGTATTATCATTATTACTGTTGTTGATTTTTTGTACGGCATAATGGCGGACCAAAATTTGTTCATGAATTCCTACTGGAATGAGGACATTTCCATTATAGAAACAATCGTTATCCCGCACTATGCTTGTTGTTGTCTTAAATCGCAACATTTTAATAATGTCAAGTTGTACGTCAGCTGTATTTTGCACAATAAATCTTTGACGCAATTTCACACGTGCATTTTTTTATCAAGACACATGTCGCTTATAATATCTTTACAAATCATGCATTCGCTGCATGGTTCGAAAGTAAATTATAACAAATATTCAATTATTCTAAGCAATCTTCTGGCACACCATTTCTATCTATAGTATTTTGTCCGCTGAATTTGAAAAATCCGTGTTAAAGCAAAAGCAATATCTTCGTTCTCTTTTATCATTCGTTGAACAACGTTAAAACACCTCATGTTTTGAGTTTTGATATTACTGCGAACGTATCCATATCATTGTTTTTATTTTATTTTATAATAAACACAACGTACTGTTTCTTCAAATAACAGATTATTTGCAACACTGTGAAAGTGCAGCAGAAATTGTAACATTCAAATGGAGAAATAACTACTTATTAAAGCACTTGTGTGATTGTATTCTACAATCAGAGAAATTCTGCGTCACACAGTGCTTTAAATATTGGGTATTACTCTGCCTGAATTAACTTGACTTTTTCTGCCTGATACTGCCCATTTAGCGAACCGACACGACTGTGGAAACATGTTTAATTGATTTTGGAATAACAGTGGGAATTATACGCTTAGTTTAGTACTAGTTCATTTTCAATCAGTACCCTGCTATTTGTTTGGAGTAATAGGAAACATTAAAAAAGTAAGACTTGGTGTATTAAAAATTTTTATGTAGTATATATTAGATACCTTGTTAAAAAGCGTGCAAACAATAATGATATTATAGTAAACTATGATATAATATAAGAATATTATATGATTTTGGTTATTACGTTTCAGAATATTATTGATCATAACAGCTTTCAAAAGTAGCATGAAAACAACATTTATGTTAAGTTCTTTATGGTTAGATTGAATGAAGGAAGTTGAGCATAGATAGGCCATAATGCCTAACATTACAAATCTCAAAGAATGTTTTTGATGTTTGCATGCACGTTTCCAATTTTAAATGGATAAATTGGCTGATTTTCTTGTTCAATAATTTTATACCAGTTTTCTGGTTGAATATCAAAATGACATTTTGTAAATATTAAGAGGATATAATTTCGTTTGAGTGAAATATGGAATATATTTTCACGAAACATGATAAAATTCCACATGCATATAAATCACGTAAATTAATTATGTGGTGCAAAACATGTAAGATAATGTTGTATAAATCAATTTTAGATTTACTTTTGTTTTTTGACCGAATTTGAAAAAAAAGATGATTGCGCCATACAATTAAAAAAAATACTCAGATTTCTTTTACCCATTACTTTGTGTCGAAAGTATCTTAAATTGACATAAGCTTATATGAGTCGTGTTATGACATAATCAACATAGTGGGCTTGCTACAAGCATGGCTCCAGACCAGCTTGCGCCTCCGCGTGGTCTGATCAGGATCCATGATGTTCGCTATCAGTTTCTGTACGTGTTTTAGGGAACAGAATGGAACCTAATCAGACTGCGCATATGTAAACACTTCTAATTCTTGATATAGAATAAATGATTAAATCTGCAAAGTATGTTTTCTGTTTATAACATAATATTGTTTTATTCAACGAGTTCAATAAAATTAGTATTGAATCTACACAAATATACTATTATATTTATCACATATCGCAATTAGACATTGTTAAATGTTAAAAAGTTTTTTTTTTCATGGACGCGCCAATGGTGCATTGCTAACATAAGAGCACTTTAACGCTATGCATCTCTATCACGCAAATGACGTCACGTCAAAGTGTTATTACACTTGTGTAATAAAATTATTGAATGGCTTTATTACATTCCAGAGCCAGGAATTATGTGATGAAATAACATATTTAAGGCCTACAATGGAAATAAGAGATTTAGTTGAGTTATATAATTGATTTTGTTTTATTTTTCATACATATTATAAGTTCTGTTGCATTATCATGTATTGAATATGTTTAATTATGTAATTGCATACTTCAAACCAATTGTTCATGACCGCTGTAGGTTCATTCGAATCACGCTAATGTCTTTCATCTGAGGATACTTTACAGCTGCAACGTAAAACCTACCAAACCAATATAATTTAATATGTTTGGGTGGACAAACCCAACCCAATCAAACAATTGCACAAAAATACTGATATAATTATGACGCTGTTAAATATACAGAGGATAGTAAACGGGAGAATGCCTTTTTGTCTAATTTTTGGACAATAATTTATGACAGTCATAGAAAAATGTCAAATTCAAACTCATTTATTTTTCATTGGTAGATATTATTCATACAATGGTCAGGGTAAAGATAACTTAAATATACGATCATAAAGAGCCATTGACACGTTTAACAATAAATACAACGTGACTTATTAATGCCTAGGTCACAAATAAAACGGGCGCCGTCCGATTAAACGATTTTTATATAATCGGCAGATTTTTTGATGTCGTGGACGCTGGACGATTTCAAATCTAATACCTTGCGTGGTCATGAATGAAACAGTCGTCGGGCGATTTTTGTCGGGTGGATTTTACAGAAAGAATTGAACGGATCAGGCGGTCGCCGCCCGATGTCCGTACGGCGCCTGTGCGATTTAAAAGAGAATCGGACGGTTGCGCGCGGCCGCCGGGCGTCAATGACTTTTCATTTTATGACATCCTAGATAAATCAGCCAGTTGTAATTATGCCAGCAAAGAAGTCAGCTGCCAAAACGAAGGGGAAGGCCAAAGAGTTGGTCCGTGTTGTTGACAACGAGTCACCAACGGCCAGTATCGAGGCGGTAGAAGGCAAAAATCAATCAGACATTCGCATGGACGTTGAAGAAAAAATTCATGTTTACTAGTATTCAAAAGAAATTCACAAATATATTTTTGAGGCAATTACAACTTCTTCAAGCTGAAATTACAACACACACAAGCAGCCCGGTCGCCGGATGACAAAATGTTGACCGCCCGGTGCCTGTACATGAATCGTCCGGGTACCGGACGATAATCGTTTGACTACTTGTCTCTATTCAGGCACCGGGCGGGGCCCGGCCGATGTCCGCGCGGACGCCTTTTGAATCGGACGCTGTTTTAGTACAAGAAAAAATCGCCTGATCAATTGCAAAAAATCATCGCCCGGTCGCCGCCCGGCGACCGAGCGATGTCCGCTCGATGATATTTATACCCCAAAAATTATCGTCCGGCCGCCGTTAGCTTTAAAGTATTACTTTAAACTCGAAGGCGCCCGCCCGATGAGCAAAATTTTCAGCTGCTGCCGTCCGAAAGCCACTGCCACCGGACGGACGCCGGCCGATATTGCGATTATTTGGAGAAACAGACGCCGCCCGGCGGCATTTTCTTATTTGTGACCTAGGCTTAAATAAACTATATCACAACAGACAAGAACTTAACATGATAATGACAATTATATTTTTTGGTTTACTTATCTGCTTTTCTATTTCAGTTTTCATCGTCACACTGAGAACATGACAGGCGGAAACGTATCAGACAGCGATTACATGATGTCGAATAACGGGTCATTATTAGACAATAACAGTACAAATGTAACCTATACTTTTGAAGTACCAGAAAATATCATTGCTTCTGTAGAAAAAATTGTCGTTCCAACAATATGTTTTCTTGGTTTAATTGGGAATACAATGTCATTTATTGTATTTGCTCAAAAGTTTCTTCGATCGAAATCATGTAGCATATTTCTTGCTGTAAGAAGTCTTAGTGACAATGGATTTCTTATCATACTTTTAATTATGTGGTCCTCACACGTGTTTGATTTGAGACTTAGTCGAATCATTGGCCTTTGTCAAGGAACTATTTTCTTGACGTACGTTTTTGGATGTCTCTCTGTTTGGATGGTTGTGTTTGTAACAATAGAAAATTATATCAGGATATGTAAACCTTTTATGGTCAATACATTTTGTAAACCAACGAAAGCCAAATATGCTGTGATACTTGTGTGCATATTCTTATTGTGTTGTTATAATTTTCCCTTGTGGACAATGACAGAAGAATGTTTACCAAAGGTAAAGCACCACAACTTTCTGAAGATCATGGGGTATGTAGATAGCGTGCTTACATTAGTCATACCAACGGCTATAATGACATTTCTTTTATCTCGCATTGCTTTGTCATCGATATCGTCTTGCAAGAGGCGAAGGCGTCTTAGTTCCACATCTGCACAAAGAATCAGCGATCTTACGACAAAGGTTACGACAATGCTTCTTGCAGTAACGCTCATTTTCATTACTTTAAATCTTCCATTACATGTTGTAAAATTACGGCTTCTGGTAATATCATTCATTAAAGATAAAATAGATATATTTACACAACTTGATATAACAGTTCAATCTATTTCACAACTCATCTATTACTTGTCACTTTCTATCAATTTCATTGTGTACTATATCTTTGGTGGCACGTTCAGGAGGACATTTAAAAGCCTTTTCCGAAGCAAACAGAAAAATGTTTATGCTCAAACGGATTACAGTACTTTGCTTTCTTCAAAGACTCGAAGAATTGAGCATTTCTCAAAACCGATATCTGAGGACGGAAATTCAAATAACAATCTGTTAATACCCAATCAAGGTGACGACAAATCGTTAAGAAGAATTCAAAGTTCTGAAATGTAATGAATTTCTTAACAGTTCAGTGTCATTTTATTTTTTTAATTATTGTATTGCATTTATTGTAAATAAATGTGTTTTACTGAAACAGGATTAAACATAAACGAATAAATCTTTTTAAAGTGACGGTGATTTGAAATTGTGAATTGATGAAACGAATATTAGTTTATATTTTCAATAGATGACTAACTATTCTTGATATTTGAATATATATCGTTATCCTATACACATGTTTATCAAATATTGTTTTTAGCAATCAATTTCTCATCAAAATAAGTATTTCTTTAATAAAAGAAGCTTTGTATCAACATTGTGCTAAAATACTTATATAAAAGATGAGTGTGTGTGTCACTCATGTTTAATCATGCTTTACCATACAGCCAATTGATTATTTACCATACAACCCATTTGTACTTTGATGTGTTGAGAAGGTTACAGATAAATCAATAATAGTTACATTAAGAAAAAACACATATTCCACAGAAAGTCATATATCACATCTCTTTCAGTAAAAAGTAAAATTATACAGTGAAAAGAGAAAGGCATAATTTCCAAATAAAATTGGAGAACATTTGAATGTGTACAAATGGTAAATGCCATGTAATAAACAGAACACATGATTGTTTTGCATGTAAGATTCAATGGTCATAGGGCAGGGCTAACCGTGAGACAGGATGGACCGTACCAGGGCGGACCCTATGTTTGGACAGGGCTTACTATATTTTTAGACCTGGCGGACCATAACTTGAGATGTGGTGGAACGTGATTAAGTTGAAATTTAATATCGCTTTTTCATTTTTTTAAACGTGTGATATCAATGTCATTATGAACAAAAATATCGTATATTTAAGCAATTTCATATTGAACATATTACTTCGTTTATCGTTTATCATGTGCACACAACATAAGGCAGACTGAGAATTAATATTATTTATACTTGTATATACCTGTAGTATTATTAACATTTACTTATGCAATTATAAGTCTCGCGGTCCGCCCTGTCCGTAATTCTATTCAATAATACTTTACTCGGGCTATTATATTTTTAATAAAATTGCTTCTGTGTTCTGTGTTGGATACGTTTTGATATTTCATGCAAAAAAAAGAAGAATACAAATACAAGAAGAAAAAAACAACAAATAAACAAATACCCTCTGTTTTAAGAAAACGATATAACCATTATTATCATACCAATGCAACGTTACGTACCCGGTGTACAAACATGTCTTAAAATCGCATTAATGTTTCAATTGTCTAAGAATGCTTGACATTGGGCTGCTAAAAATCAATTTATAACATTTTCTTGGCACAAGTGTTATACAATGAATTTTAAAATAATTTGAAAACAAGCGATGTTTTACGCACACTGTCAAAGCTGGTGCCTCCATGCATGGTAAAACGATGGGTTAAAATGCTACATCTATAATTGTCTGTTTAGCGCTGCATAGTTGTTAAAACAGAAGTTAAAGGGAAATAATTACAATACGGAAATTCCATTACGTACTTAGTAATAATCTTATGCTGTGCTTCAACGGGTGCACTTAGGGAAATACTGTAGGGTAAGCTTAATGACACCACGAGTCCTATAAAAATAAAAGAACAGTGCAGACTCGTTTGTATCGTTTTATTAAGATGCCTTGGACAATATCTTAAGCGCATCCTGATTTACAAGTATGAACTTTTTATAAGCAAAGTATCAGCAATGAAGCGCCAAAGTAAAGGAAAGACATAAACTTTCAATTAATTAATTGACGAAGACGTTTGAGAACTATTCCTTGTGATCTTTAAAAAATGTTTCCTTAAAAATTATAAAATGTAAGTTATATTGTACATTTTTAAGAAGATAATTCAAAGAGCAGAAAGATTACTTTGGTACACACACATTTAATGTTGAATTTCCTAAACGGTTTGCGAAATATCGCAAAAGTTCGTGGTGTTGCAGCAGCAATAAGTCGCTTCACACTGCTGTATAAGCTTAAGTTTATTATTACTGTTCATCACTTGCATACGTAGATCAGCAAACATTTACGCTTCATTTGGCGACTATGCAAAAAAGAAAATATGTGGTGAATAAAGCAAAAACTTAAAAAGCAAGATTTGTTCCTGGAATATGATATATGCGAATGTTTTAAAATAATGTACTTGTTTGTCTATGTGAACGTTGGTGCGTGCGTGAATGTGTTTATTTATTTATTCATATATTTTTAGAACTCGCAAAATAAATTGTATCAGTAAATTTTATCATTTTGCAAATTGACCACTTTCCCTCATTGAATGGTTGGATTATGAGTACGAGGGATGATCAAAAATTAACCGGACTTTGTAAATGATTCTTTACCTGTTAAATGAATTTACATAAAAATACACGGAAAATAAATCAGAATCTATCCCCTGAATGATACAAAAAATACCAACAAGAAATATAAATAAAGAAAAAAGTTATTCTATTATTGGCATGTATATGTAAAGCAATGCGGCGCACGGTATAACTTTGAAATTGACGTTAACGACGTCAAAAGCGTATTTTCCTTAACGGAGCAACATTTTACTCATTCACGGAGTAGGCAAATACGTGGTACAGTCATGTTGTTGATGCGCTGCCTATATATATTTCTGTACAAGTGGATATCATATTATATTGTAAAATAATGGATGATGATAAGAACTCCTGTAATGACGCAAACTTCCGTTCTTTCCTTCTGTAACTTAATTGTTGGAAAATCGCACATGCAATAAACTATATTATGTATTACAAATAATGTAAAATAATGTTGCTAAATGATAATGTATCATACATAAGAAAATATAAAAGAATAATACAACTATGAACAAACTTGTCATTATTTTAAAATAAATAAAACACCTAGCCGATTTTGAACACTGACTGTCTAATTGTTGACACAATTTCTCCATAAAACTACTGCGTAAAATAAGAAAATAATTGATACAATTGTAAACCAAGAATACAATACATATAATTAATGCATTAACTATTATCATTTTAGAATCCTTAGAGTTGACTGCACCGTCCCGTAGCTACTGTCGAACATCATTGGCAATGTCCGCAGTCAATCGGCTGTCATTTCTCAACGTCTTGGCGATTGACATCACCAACGTCCTTGAAAATTTCTTTTTTCTCTCTCTCCCTTACTTGTTTTCTATTTCTCTATTACCCTTTTGGAACTTTTCCCTTGATAGCCATAATCTTTTTCTACGTTTTTAAACAGTTTCTCGCCTTTCTTTTGACATTTTTGTCTTATTGATCGATTTTCGAGACATTCCGACGACATTGCTTTAACGGGATTATTTTATTAGCATGTGACGTTTGAATTGTTGTTGCCAATATAAATATGGTTTAAATGAAGTCATTTTTACCGACAACGTCAAATATATGGTTCATGAAGTTTTGGCGTATTTTGAAATCTAAATGTGCCATATTGTTAAATATACGCAGCTTAAAGCGCCTGTTGTAAAGGCGAATTTACGCACTGCGCCGGGTGTGCGTTACCATGGTTTTTGAATTCGCTGTTACGGACAAGCTATTTACGTTATCAGATTAGATATAGTATCAGTTTACAGGTATTGTTTTCCGATTAAGTGTGATATATAAAAATACTTATTAGGTTGAAACTTTTTCAATAGGCAGTCACAGTCCGGTTTATTTTTGATCATCCCTCGTACGTCTTAGATGTATATATTTTTTTCGAATGTGTTTATTTAAATCATTGTTTGTGGAATAAAAATATATTTTACTTTGTTATTGTTATTTAATGTTTTTGTTACAATTTGTTTGTTGAAGTAAATATCACAAAATACAGTGTAAAATAACATTATAAATAAATTATATTTCAAATCAGTGGATTATGTCAGTGCATATTGTATAGATTCACTTTCATTTGTGTTTGAAATAAGACGAGGCGTGTATGTATATTTCCTTGATAAACAAGTTAACATATATATTTCTTCTGCGGTTCACTCACACTAGGGTCCGCCTCTGTTGTTGGTTAATCAGAGGCGGTTATTAAAAGCAGTCACTTGCTAATAGAATTATATTCATATAAAACAACAGCATGTTCCACCTTATTAAATAGGGACATCAATGTAGTTCACTGCCTTCAGTCAGGATGTCCTTACTGAATTGAAAAGTCTAATAATGTATAATCTAAAATAGCCTCAGGGCCAAAGGCCATTTAATAAATTGAATTATTTCCAAATCTGAAACTTACACCAGAGCAAGAATATAGTCTCTCCTTAACAAAAATATCAATCTTACAACATTTTGCTTTCACAACGCCTCAGAATCCAAAATGGCGTCGAATATGGAAGCCGATTTTATACAAATTAGGTTTTATTTTATTTTGGTAGATTAAATAGTAAATATTGTGACATTTTTGGTAAAAAGGTGTTAACACATTTACGAAATAATCAGGATCTCATTAAATTACAATGAAATATTTACATGTAGCTAGTCAGGTTTATGTCTTAAAAATGTCAAATAAAAAACGAAAAATATTCCAAGTAGCAACTCAAATTCTAATATTGATTTGTTTTACTTAAATACTATGTGGTGCGTTTTAAGTTGTTGCAATAAAAGATGTAAGGACTAACATAATGTGTAAGTTTTAGATAAGTATGTATGAAATGGTGATATAATCGTATATCAGCAAAGACGCACTGCATATATCAATTAGATTAGATCATAAAAACTGAAGCCACAAAAGAATAAATTTATTACTTGTTTAGTACATTAACCTAATAAGATTTTTTTTATAATTATATTCATATTTAGCAAACAAACAAACTGTTACGACACCCACATCTCCAGCTTAAACATGTTATAAAACAACTAATAATTAATATTCCTTAAAGTTTCTTTTAAGAGTACACAAAATGTAGGACGTTTTAATTATAATTGTATAACAATGGCTGGTCTCTTGGAAGTAAATAAAATGATACTTCTTTTATGAGAATATAATAGGATGATTTTGTTTAAATTGCGACATTACCCTGCTACCCAATAAAGATGTCTTACTCGTTAAATTGTTTGACTTAATCTAAAAAATGTAGTTAATCAACCATATACATTGATAGATTTTAAGACTTAGTACATCCCATGAATACTATTTCATTTTCTTTATAATAATGATATTTTTAATGGTAATGTTTTTATAAAAATAATGAATTTATTAGTCATTATAGCTTTTGAAGGATAGTGCAAACATATAAAATAGATGTTCAAATTCTAGAAGATTCTT